TTTATCTATTCTTCTCGTGTTGTAGTAAAGGTCTTCAGTTCCATTATTCCCACTTTGCATGAAAAAAGATTTTAAAACCTTAAAATTATAAAGATTTTGAATTGGCATTATTTTCATCTGTTGATAAAGAGGAAAAGAACTTTCTCTTCGCCGTTTTCCTAGAATTATGCGCAAAAAATGATTCTGAGTGGTTCTTAATCTATTTATAAAAGTTTTAAATGTTCCACCCCAACAAATTAGCCCATATTGTAATCTTGAATTTATTAATGCATGATATAATTTTTTTAATAAAGATTCTTCACAAATGTTTTTTAATAAGTAAAACTTCCTTATTGATTGTTTAATTTTTGAATGCAGACCATGAATATGTTTTTCCCATGTAATTTTACAATCAAAAGTTAGTCCTAGATATTTAAAAGAATTAACTTTTTCAATTTGTTCGCAATTACAAGGAGGGCCCTGACAGGTGTCTTGGTGATAGATAATTGGAGAAATAAAATCAAAACCTCGAAAATCGAAATTAATATATTTGGTTTTACTAACGTTTACTTGCATTTTATTTTTCACACACCAATTTTGTAAAACATTCAAATCATTGTCTATCATTGTCTTTAGGATATCACTGTTTTTGTGGGAATAAAAGAAGCCAATATCATCTGCAAAAGCTTGAATATATCCATTAAACTGTTTAATTAGTAGGTCGTTAATTTCTCATAGTCGTTGTCCCAAACAAAGATTCTCTTGTCTTCGGTCAATTTAGTTAGTGGTTTGGCAATATTAGCAAATCCTTTTACAAATCTTCTGTAGTAAGCGCACAGCCCAAGGAAGCTCCTAACTTGGTGTTTATCCTGAGGTATTGGCCAATCAGTGATAGCTCTGATCTTCTCCGGATCCACAGATACTCCTTTGTCTGATACAACATGGCCGAGGTAATTAACCTGTTTGCGGAACAAGTTGCACTTCTTGGGGTTCAACTTGAGATTAGCCATCCGCAGTTGCATAAAGACATTCTCCAGGTTCTTCAGGTGGTCTTCGAAGGATTTGCCTAGGACGATAATGTCATCCAAGTATACCAGGCATGTTTCCCATGACAATCCCCTGAGGACGTTCTCCATGAGCCTTTCAAAAGTAGCAGGGGCATTGCAAAGTCCAAAAGGAAGCACAGTGAATTGCCAAAGTCCTGTCCCAATAGAGAACGCTGTCTTCTCCTTGTCCTCAGGAGCGAGCCCGACCTGCCAGTAGCCACTTCTGAGGTCTAAGGTTGAGAATATCTGACATCCTCCCAGAGTGTCGAGTGTGTCATCAATCCTGGGTAGAGGGTAGCTGTCTTTCTTGGTGACATTGTTGAGAAGGCGGTAGTCTACGCAAAATCTTGTTGAGCCGTCTTTCTTTTTCACTAGTACCACAGGTGACACCCAAGGGCTGCTAGAAGGCTCGATGACACCATCCGCTTCCATCTCCTTTATGATTCTCTCGGCTTCGTCACGTTTTGCCAGTGGGAGTCGTCTAGGGGCCTGACGTATGGGTTTTGCATCTCCGGTGTCTATCTTGTGTTGTACTATATTCGTCCTTCCTCTAGGGCCACTTCCGTACTCAAAGACATCTTGCCATCTAGTAATAAAGTCCTTTATTTTTGCACTTTGTTGATGCGTCAGCTCCTGACAGGTGCTCTCCACGAAATCTTCTAGCTCCTTCGGTAATCCATTTGGAGATGGCGGGCATGATCTTAGTTGACGTACCACCGAATTAACAGCCACGCACGTTCCGATCGTTACTCCTCTTTTTATCGTAACAGGAAAACCATTCAAGTTCATCAGTTGCACCGGATTTTCATGTCCTAAGTTAAATAAGGATCTGGCGACAAAGACACCACGTCCAAGCTGGGATTCACTGTCACTTCCTGGCTCCAGAAGAACACTTTGCCCACTAGTCCAATCTCCTTCGACAATAGTTCGGGCGATGACTTGGCTGCGTGCTGGTAGCGTTGTGTCTTCCAGAAGGAGGACGCGTGCAGAGATATCTTTTCCGTGTCGTAGTATGACATCTTCATCTCCGAGAGTCACTAGTCCTCTTGACATGTCCAACTTCAGTCCGTACTTCACCATTATATCGGTTCCCAAAATCACGTCCTCGTCTATGTCGGCAACAAGTGCGCAGTGTTGAAACACGCAGCCACCGATGTGGAAGGTAGCAACCGTCTGCCCATAGACCTGAGCCAGCTGACCTGTAGCTGTACGTAGAGACCATGATGTTGGTGAAATATCTTCCGTCGACACAGTGTTTGGATTCAGGATGGTCATAGTCGCCCCGGTGTCCAGAAGACAGCTTTGGAGACGCCCGTTCACCTTTCCGTCGACGTAGAAACTGCTCGACTGACTTCCCAGTGAAGCAACTTTACCACTTTTCCTCGGGGCTTTCCAATCGCGGGCTGACGGTTGCCCCTTTCCATCAACCCTCCTTAGTTTTCCTGCGTCGGTTCTGATGTGGTCGAAGGACATTTACTCCGGGGATGTCCCATCTGTCCGCAGCTCCAACAGCGTATCTGCCGGCGACGAGTTTTTAGTGCCTCCAGCACTCTCTTTACTAGCTCCTCGATGTCCAGTGGAGTTGTAGGTTCTGCGTCTGCCACGCGGACTCGAGCCTGGTCCCTCACCGACTGTCGCACAGCCTCGAACTCCAGTGCCTGTGTCAGTGCGTCACTCAGGGTCTTTGGTCTGGCGAGCTTCACTGCCTGTTGAGTCTCAGGTTCACGTAGACCGTCTAGGAATTTATCCACCGCCAAACTCTCGTAGACATCATCCGTGACCGATGGATAGGCGTTTCTCACCAGGCGAGCAATGTCGGCTTCAAACTCCTGGAGCGACTCGCTGGGCTTCTGGATACGGTTCCGCAGCTGTGATCGGTAGAGCTGGTCCATATGTCGATGTCCAAAGCGCATGTCCAATCTTCTTACTAATTCTGCGAAATTCTTTCGCTCCGCCATTGGCATAGCATGCAGAACAGCTAATGCATCGCCCCGTAGTGCAAGACACAGCGTCGAAGCCTTTGTTTCCTCGGTCCACCCATGGACCATAGCCGCTGTCTCGAAGAGAAGCATGTAGTCCTCCCAGGGAGTTTTACCATCGAAATGAGGAACGATGTTCTGAGGTACAGCGGCAGCAATGGTGGGCGCTGGCTTGGAGATCGTTTCTGGGGTGTTATCCTGCCGAAGTTCGTCAGTGCCAGCCAATGACGAAGGTGTGAAGCTCCCCGATGCAGCCATCTCCTGCCTAAGCTTATCAACTAACCTATCTTCTAGACTCTTTTCTATACAGTTAACTTTCTCATCGATTTCATTTATCCTACTTTCTAAACTATCAACTTTGCTAGAATATTCACCTAATTTGTTGAGCATTTTTGATTCTACATTTGACATTTTTGTCTCAATGCTAGTTTCTAAGTTTTTGTTATTTTCTGACATCTTTGACTCAATGCTAGCTTCTAAGTTTTTGTTATTTTCTGACATTTTTGATTCTAGTGTTTTAGTATTTTCAGACATTTTTGACTCTAAGTTTTTAAGCATTTTATTGAAATCAGATGTTTCAAATAAAACGTTATCTAGGTCTTCACCTGCATCAATTAAAGCTTGTTTAAGGCGTGCCTGAAGGGCTGATTTAGTTCCACTAGTATCTAGATCTCGTTCTTCTAATTCTCTCCTAAGATCAGCTACTTTTAATTCATCAAGTTTTACACCTTTGAAAGCCATTTTTATGCAAACAATTACAATAATTTTACAATAAATGATTTTATCCTTTGTAAACAAATTTACGACACAAATTACTAATATGTAACAAAGACCTTGAATCTTACTAATATCTAACAAAATCCTTAATTCTTTTTTACAAATAAATTCGCCAAAATAATGCCGCTTTCTGACACCAATTGTTGCGGGCTTAGCAGGTTCTTTACAAATAAAACTTGGCGATTTTATAATAACTATTTATTTACACTAATTATTCTATATTTACAGATATTAGAATTACCTAACACCTAACTAACCCTATCTAAACCTAGCTAAAGCCTATTCTAATTTACAATGTTTCTACTTACAGCTAGCCTCTACAGGATTTATCACTTCTGTTACAACACTGTCACTACACTGTCACTAGAGTCACTACACTGTTACTCTCACTGTCACTACACTGTCACTGCCACTAGCACTAGCACTGGTCACTAACACCGACGGACACTTGCCGCGACGATTCTCGGAAGGCTCTACTCAACTCAACTGCCGTGTGCTGGAAGACGGTCCCTTATATAAGTTTGCCGTAGAACATTCTAGAGTAGAGAGTTCGAGTATCCGTTGTTTACAAACCAGGGTAGAACTGAGAAGGTTCTAGGGCCCCTATTGAGGTAGTCCGTTGACATGGGTCTATTGTCTATCAGTCGTGCGTTCGAAGAAACCCGTTTAACAAACAACCCTTTTGAGACGGCGCCTGGCTATTGTTGCGCGGGGCTCCTGACTTGTAACACTTGCTTATTTTAACGTCTACTAAAAGGGTATCAGCAGTTCTCATACTGCTAACTTTTGTCTCGGTAACACAAATAGAATCCAATGCGTAACAAATTACACCACCTGATCTGTACGAATCATTACATTGAGAAAATATATTATAGTTTGGACTATTGTACAGATTTGTCTCATCAGAGTTTATCCAAACCTCACTTAGCACAATAAAAGAAATACATTTATGCAATTGTGACAGTTCAACTAAAAAGTTATTGAAATTTTTTCTTAAACTTCTAATATTACAATAGATTAAGGTGAAAATTTCTTTGTTATCATCATTGGTAACCTCAAAAAAATTACTACTTAGGGAAGAAAAGTAATTAAAACTATTAAGCTCCATAAAACATGTTTTTCAAAAACAACTCATGACTTTAGGTAAAAATAATACAAACATATTACAATATGTGAGAGAAAATAAAGAAAAACAAAACTTGTTTTAAACAAGCCTTTTTTACTTGAGTTTTTCAATGTCTGCTTCATTTTCAATCTTGATACACTTTTCACCATTAGCTTTTCTAACAAAGAATTTCCCCTCACGACACCAGACAAAAGCATAGCCGATGTCGCGACATTTCTTTTTTAGTTTGGATAGAAATAACTTATTTATTGGAGAGAGGTGTTCATTTACAAAGAGACTGGTTTTAGGAAAGGCCGAGTTTACCTTATCCGCTGTGGCTGATGCCCTGTTCTCCCTAAACTTCTGTAGCCAAATGTCTCTGACGGTCCTGGCGTTGAACTGCACCACAAGAGAAGGGGCCCGGTCGCTGCGGAAGCTGGGTACACGATGTGCCGCGTTGATCTGCGACTCCTCTACAGACACGCCGATCACAGCTCCAACGTCTTTCACCAGCTTGATAACATCTTCTTTCGGAGACGCTGGGATGCCACTGATTTCAATGTTGCTTCGTCTTGTGTATTGTTCGAGCGACCTCACCCTGCTTTGTAGATCAGTCACAGATGAATTTAAGAGATGAATTTCTCACACGCAGATGCTCGTTCTCTTTTTTGAGATTCTTTATTTCCTGTTTAAGCTCTTCTATAAGATTGTTAGACGAGTCTACCTTATCTGATAAAAAATTAAGTGACTTACTTATTTCTTCCATCTCGGTCTTAAAAACTTTCAGTTCCTTAAACACATCTGCTTTAAGTCCCTCCAAAACCTTTTCCAATTAGAAAAGTTAGTGTCGCTAAGTTGCGGAAAGTTAAGGTTGGTAGAAGCCATCTTCATAAATTTTCCCCTTGTCAATTGGGCTTGATTTTATATATCTCTTCATTTGATTTTCTGGGCCCATAACCTGTAAAGAAATTACTATTCATTTGGTTGCTGAATAAAGCTGACGATTATTACAATATTCACTTTATTATAAAACTGGTTCTCCCTTTGAAGGGAATTATCATATCGTCGATTGAGTGTTTGCTATCTAGGGGAACAGCTCTCATGTTGTCTCTGGCGGAATGATCCAGGTCTCTGGATCATGGTTTGGATCCAGACCGTTTGGCGGATTTTCATTGTTATTCACAGGGAAGTTTGAACACAGCAATTGAAAACGATTGCGTGACACAGAATCTGCTATTGGCTTGTACCGTGTCTCGTCGCTCCAGTAAATTTTATATGATGGCATTTTCACGATAGAAGACATTATTTGTATTCCTAAGAATTTTTTTTATTTAACTAGAATATGTGTTGAAGTGTGTTGTTTGAATTGGACTGATGTGCCTCTTTTCTGCACGGAATAAATATTAGTTTGAAGCGCAAGATTTTCTAGGATCTCCTCAATATACCTACTGAAATACTCCTGAGGCAGACCTACATGATCTGGTGGGGTGGGAGGAATTATTTCTGTTTCGAGGTCAGGAAAAATTTCATTTTCATCTAAGTTCCTCCAGCGCCTCTCTGTTTTCGCCATGTCTTTTGCTCTGCTTTAGTTAGTCGGCTCAATAACGGCCTATTTTCATCTGGATAGTCTTCAGTCGGTTCTGTCCAGGTGGCTGCTCTCGACCTTCAGTGGGTTGGTCCGGTTCATCATAGGGTTGGTCCGGTTCATCAGAGGGTTGGTCCGGTTCATCAGAGGGTTGGTCCGGTTCATCAGAGGGTTGGTCCGGTTCATCAGAGGGTTGGTCCGGTTCATCAGAGGGTTGGTCCGGTTCATCAGTGGGTTGGCCCGGTTCATCAGAGGGTTGGTCCGGTTCATCAGTGGGTTGGCCCGGTTCATCAGAGGGTTGGTCCGGTTCATCAGATTGTTGGTCCGGTTCATCAGAGGGTTGGTCAGGACCACCGGGAGGATCCAGGTCGTCAAACATATTATGCGCATCATTACCCACCTCGTCGACATCTACTTCTTGGCTTTGAATAAAATCTTCAAATTCTGCGATTCTTCTGTTGAATTCGTCTTCTTCTACAAATTCCTCGTCCTCCTCATCCGCAAGGTCTTTAATGTCTGATAGGTCACCTCGTAGTAGGCGGTCTGTTTCAGATCTGCTTATTTGGTCGTTCATGGCCTACAAATAAAAAAATCTAAAAATTATTAACTAGGCCTATGTATCAAAAATACAATGGAAAACTTCTAGGTACATAAAATAATAATTGATAATATTCAAATAGTAAAAGCAGAGAAAAATTGTTGGACACCGGTATTTATGTTTATTATAATATGTATAGTTAATGTTTTAAAGAATAAACAGACATAGGACTAAAATAAGTTTTTCAACAATTTTGTTTATCAGTCTTTATAATTTAATCCATATCATTTTATCGCTAATTGATTTGATGGATAAATGTGAATTCTCACATCACTCCACGTCACAGAGTCCCACTGATGTCATATGGACTCATGATTTACTTTGCCCCTGAATAGGTTAGGATTATGAATAAAAACCTGGACAAAGGCTAAAAAGCATTTTAAAAGTATGACTTATTGTGCAATATAAAAAAAAATGAAAATAAATATAATCATGGAAATGAGGGAAACTGCCGGTGCGCCAAGAACTCTGAACAGCTGAGAATTTCTTCTTAACAAAAAGTTCTGGTGAACACAGCTGATATTCCAGTTCTGCCAACCTTCAGACCATTAATACACCTTTCATATTGTGATACCATTGGCATCATTGGGACTTTGAGGGTTAATGTTATTTTCTTCTTCGTAATCTTTTAAACATATAATGAGTGATGCATTACTATCTGAATCGTCGCTTGAAAGAGAAAATGGCACAGGTCGAGGTTTGAAGAAAATTGGATTTGAATTAGGTTTGAATTAGGACTTGAAGGCTATTTCGACAACCCTTTTGAAGGTAAACTTTTCGCTGTCGGTTTCAGTAAAAATCTTCCTCTTAACAACATCGCTCAAAAATCCGGCAATGTAATTCTGAAAAGTTACAGTACTTAGCCCCCTTTGAAGAGCAATGACAAAATCGGAAATTGACTGCTCACCGACTTGACAAATTTGCTGAAATTTATAACGTTCGGCAATTTCCGAAGGTTTTGGATTGAGGTTATCCCCTAAGATTTGCACTAGTTCATTGAATTTTTTCTCAATGCGGTGGATATGTGGGTGGATAGAGCGACCAGGAAGGGGGGAAAGATGAGAAAAACTTGTTTGAAGGATAAAATTTAACTATTATATAACCTAACCAAACCAAACTTGCTATTTATGAAAAATGAGTGAATGTTTACTGATAGAGTCGATTTTTTCAATCGATTTAGGGTAGCCCAGTTAAGAAACTGCACCGGTATCCGTTACATCCTGCCCCTCACGCCCCCTTTCACTAATACCACCCCCTGAATCAGTCTTAAGGTCTGGGGAGGCAAACGGCACTCGGGCCTACTTGACGGTTTTGACAGTTTATGACCCCCGCGACAAAGAATAGGACGGCACTCGCTCCGTTTCCCAGTATGTAGGCCGCCGGTTTAAGTGAAAAAGACACTTTTATAGGTTTCTGAAAAACTGGATTGATATCTGGTTTTATGTAGATGTTATTGTAATATTTTACTAAGAATTAAGTGAATGCACTGTTTTATATCATAACTCAAACTCAACTAACTTTATTTACCTTTTTACAAACATATAATAACAAATAAACATATGATAATAATTAATAGAAATTAACAGGTGTTATGAAATAAACTGTTCTCACAACATCCTCCCTTTTAAGTTTGAAAGTTCTTCAACCAGCTTGGTTTTTGTATATTTCTCTTTGGACGGTTGTATGGTTCTGTTTGATGTGTATTTGCTGACAAATTTTGTTCACTGTTTTCCTCTCTTAAATAAGGGGCAAGTTTGAGGTGGAATCGATTTCTTCTCACATTCCTCTTATCAGTTTCAACAATATATGAACGAGGGCTGTCCAGGATTTTCACAATTTTGCCATGTCTTCTAAGGTCCACAATCCAAACTGGGTCTCCTATATGAAGAGGATTGAGAGTTTGCACTTTGTGCCTTCTATCATAGTTGTGTTTGTACTTCTCACGATATGTTTCTTCTCTCCCTTTAAGATCCTTTAGATCTGGTTTTCCACAAAGCAAATGTCCTGTCTGAGGCAATGTGCTCCGTAATCGCCTGTTCATAAGAAGCTGAGAGGGACTGAACCCATTCCAGAGGGGTGTCGTTCGATAGGCTAGAAGCGCTAAATAAGGGTCTTCCACATTTTTCTTTAGAATCATTTTGGCGATTTTCACTGCCGCTTCAGCCTCTCCATTGCTTTGGGAAAATTTTGGGCTACTTGTTACATGCTTGAAGCCATAAACTTTGGAAAATGTCTTGAAATCTGAATGTTCAAGGACTTGAAATTGAGACCCACAGTCAGACCTAATTTCTTCTGGAATGCCATGTCGACAGAAAAAGGCTTTGCATCTCATTATTACTTCTTGTGATGTTAATGACTCTAATTCAGCTATCTCAAAATATCTGGAGTAATAATCTGTCACAGTCAAAAACCAAACGCCTTCAAGTTTGAACAAATCCATCGCAAGTGTTTTCCATGGCCTGTCAGGGAATTGTGTGGGAAGCAATGGTTCATGACTGTTCCTTGAATGTTTAATACAAGTAGGGCATGATTTCACCATACATTCAATGGCTGAAGAAATTCCTGGCCACCAGACTGACTCTTTTGCACGTAAACGACACTTGGTGATTCCAAAATGACCTTCATGTACTCTTTGAAGTGCCCAAGACTGCAGAGCTGGCGGAATTACAAGTCTTGAACCTCGTAGTATCATCTCATTATCAACACTTAGCTCATCCTTAACTGAATTATACGGTTTTAGGTCATCTCGTAATGATGTCTTAGAAGGCCAACCTTGGATGATTATTTTTTTCAGTTCACGTAAAGTCGGATCTTTATTTTATTCCTCCAATACTTTAGCAACTATGCAGTCGTTTATATCGATGGACGACAAAACCATTTGAACAAACGCTTGAGTTTCTTCTTCTAACTCACGGTCATCAGTACCTGAAAATGGGAGAGGTGCTCTTGAAAGAGCATCAGGAACTAGAAGCTGCTTTCCAGGAATATAAGTAATTGAAAAATCATATCTCATGAGACGCAATCGAATTCTTTGAATTCTTGGAGACAATTCATCAAGATGTTTGGATTTCAAAATTTGAAGTAGTGGTTTGTGATCTGTTTGTATTGTTATTCTCTTGCCAATAATAAATTCTTGAAACTTTTCACATGCCCAAGCAACAGCTGTAGCCTCCCTCTCGATGTTTGCATAGTTTTTTTCAGAAGGAAGAAGGCTTCGGGATGCAAATGATACTGGTCGTATAGAACCATCATCTTGAACTTGAGAAAGAGTTGATCCTAGTCCTTGAAGCGAGGCATCACAGGAGATAATTGTTTCCCGATTTACATCGTAAATGGCTAGGCAAGGAGAGTTAGTCAAAATGAGTTTTATTTCATCAAATGCCTTCGCCTGCTCTGGACCCCATATCCATGGAACGTTAGCTTGAAGTAGTGAATTCATTGGGGCCAAAATCTTAGCTTTGTCAGGAATAAACTTACCAAGAAAGTTTACCATCCCATTGAACCTTTGAAGTTCTTTTACGTTTTTTGGGCAGTCCATTTTGAGAATGGCGGAAACCTTTTCCTTATCAACAGAAATTCCATCGGATGAGAGGAAATGCCCGAGGAATTTAATACTTGACTTCCCAAACTCAGTTTTGTCTTTGTTAAGTGTCATTCCTACATTTTTAAGCTTTTCAAGTACTTGCCGAACAACTGTATCATGTTCTTCTTTCGTTTTGCCCCAAATCAGAATATCGTCCATATGGACTGCGACATTTGACTGGTTGTCTAAGATTTTGTTCATGCATTTCTGAAAATGTTCAGGTGCTGATGTGATTCCAAATGGAAGTTTGAGAAATTTAAAACGTCCAAAAGGGGTAAGGAAAGTAGTTAGATCCTGGGAATTTACATTTAAGGGGACTTGCCAAAAACCACTGTTTGCATCAAGTTTTGAAAACCATTTTGCTCCTGAGATTGAGCTGAGAGACGTTTCAATTTTGGGAATCGGATGATAAGACCGCTGGATGGATTCATTCAACTTTGTTAAGTCAACACATATGCGGACATCTCCATTAGATTTAGGCACTACTACCATTGCTGAGCACCATTCAGTAGCATGCTCAACTGGTGTGATTACATTATTTTGTACCATACTTTCTAGTTCTTTTTTCACTTGACACATTAGGGGTAAAGGTACTGTCCTAGGAGTGGTTATTGCGTATGGCTTTGCGCCATCCTTAAGTGCTATTGTGTAGGGATCAGGAATGACGCCCAGACCACTAAACATTTCATGGTATTCGGTAAAAAAGTCACTGTCTACCTCTGCAACTGAATTAACAAAAGTTAAAATCTTCAAGTCCTGTATTGCTGGACGACCAAGCAAGGGTGTTATGAGTCCCTTCACTACGTATACCATGTGATTTATTTTAACATCTCTGTATTGGATATTAGCTCTAACACAACCTACAGTTTCTAATTTTGTTCTACCAGCCCCAAACAACTCAACTAGAGTCGGCTGGATCCTACTTGGATCAACTATGCCAGGGGGAATTACTGTTACATCTGCCCCTGAATATTGGTTTGTGGTTTTCCCTCAAATTCTAATTCTAGTTTCCAGGGCTTACATTTTGACCCATCCCCAAGTGTACCTATGAATACTTTATTATTTGAAGGTCCAAGTTCACTTACTTCATTTTCGTCAGTTACTTCCTGTGCTTCTTTAGATCTGCAGACCTTCGAAAAGTGACCAATCTTTTTGCATAAGTTACATGTTGCGGTTTTTGCTGGACACGTGCTTCTTGGATGGGACGGTTTATAACCACACCAGATACATTGCGCTGGGTATTCTTGTTTCTTTTGACGAAACCTATATCCTTGATTTTGGTTTGAACTCGATGACGTAGTTGCTTCAATTTGAACTCTTTTCTCATCACATAAATCTGCCTTCTCTTTCTTTACGTTATCTGCATGTCTTATTACTGTAATGGCCTTGTCTA